ATTTCTACAGGATAGGTTTGAAACAATTTAAACAGTCTTTCTGTTAATTAGGTTCTCTGGAGTTTCTTTTACCTGAAGCGACTTTACACAACTCTATAATAATGCAAGTTATAGGCTTGATGCTGTCACTGCAGAGCAGCTCCAACTCCATCAGAATCATTGATGCATTTGGGGTAGTTAGTGTGTCCATTAATTCGGAGAATATATTTCTTCTTGGTCTTCCTTTGCTCAGCAGTCATCTTAATGAAATCCAAGGCACATTTGTAACAGGATACATGTATCCTTAGTAGCACGCCTAACTTGAAAAAAAAATACCCTAGAGATCATGATTTAAATGCTTTCCTTTTAAAGATGCTACTGTGTTTCCAATCTAAAAAAGAAATCCTTGTATGATGCAGTCATACATGGCCTTACTGTAAAATTGGCATGCTCTTAAATAATTAAAAAGGGGGATACTTTAATTTCGAAAAAGGTTCTGTAGGAAGGAGGTTAGAGGAAGCTTTTAGTCAGCTCTAAGGTTAGATTTATTGATCTAGTGATCAATCCCATTCTCTTTCCTGAATTTAAAGCTAATGGGAGACTGTGGTCAGAGATGAGTGGCTTTTAGTTAAGGTTTTTGACTCTTATAAATAATACAACAAATGTCCTAGTAAGTAATAAGAAATAAGATACTCACTCACTCTTTTTAAATAGAACAAATGTGGCAAACAAGACTCAGCTGTAATTTTTGAAGTCATTTATTAGACAAATTGCTCTTCTCTACTTCTTTTACAAGAAAGACATAAACCATTATATTATTTATTCATGAATCATCGCCATTAAGATGATAAATCAAATTATCAGCTTCCTGTCTCTCTTCAGTTTTAATCATTTTTTATAGTTCATGTAATATAAAGACAGTTTCCTTCCTATGAAACAAGAGACCTTCAGAGACCTTTTTATTGTAAACGTACATTTCCTTCCCATTTTTAAGTATATCCTAGTGATTTTGTCTGTCAGTTTTATCTGTAATAAAAATCCAATAAGGAACTTGTACATCGATTCAATATAGCAAAGTTAGCTATGAAGTAAGTGATTTTTGTTAACCTCTGAAATACGTAGTACTGGAAAACGCTGATAAAAGATGGTTTCCCACCGCT